TAGCATCAAATCTGTGCCACTTAGCCAATATCAAATTAGACCCGCAGCAATAAAGATCCATTTGTTATTGAAATATTCATTGAAATAAATATTAGAGTAGAAATACGAAATTTCCAGTGACCTAGATGTTTCGTTTAATCTAAGAAATTGAATTTGATTCCTGATACAAAATTCATTATTCTAAACGAAATTCTAAACGAAATTTTTGAAATTTGCAAATTAAAATTTCACTGCTCGATTTAAAAAAAAGAAAGGAAGAAAAAAAGAATAATTAAAACTACATTCCACAGTTAACAGTCCTCGAGATTTGGCGCATTTCGATTGCACCTTTCCACTTTCCCTCAAGTGGCTCGTTAATCGTCCTATTTCGCGGATACTGCGAATTGAAGGCGATCTCGGATTCAATTTTCTTGGCCACGACACGTTGGAATACGGCTGGTTCGGCATTTAAAACGAGCTCAAAACGAGGCTTTCTTCCAAAGATCTGATCGAGCACGAACCGCCTTGTCGATTTTCCTCAAGATCTATCTCGATAAATATGGAGAGGATTCTCCTACCGGAAACGATCGAGCAAACCTGCATTCCCGATTATGGTAATGTCCGTTTTAATCAATAATTAATCAGTGTCGTAATCAGCTTTCGTGGAGTCTCCTCTGCAATGCATGGAATTATGTCGCTGTCGAAAATATGCGCCAGAATAATTCGACCAACATCGTCCGCTGATTGAGAATTAATCATTTTATATGGGGACACTATAGTATTGATTCCACGATTAGTTTCGAGCATTCGTGATATTAATTTCTCAAGAAATAACATCAGCGATGCATGTTGTATGCAAAATGAATTATTTAAATTTGTATCGTAAAATAATTTTGAACCAATTTGAATGTTCGTGTTATTGTTGGAAATTTGGAGAAGAAAATTTTTCGTGTAAATATTATTGTTTGTAGGAACTTATGATACAATAATTTAAAAAGATTTTATCTCTGTATTTTTTTTTTTAAGTTGCTTTTTTGTTTCTATGATATATATTTCAATATTTTCAAGATAATATAAACAATAATATTTTTGATTAATGATTGCTAAAAAAATATATAATTTAAATTATTCCAAAATTTATCATGGAATTTTAAGAACATGATTTTTGTTTAAATAACATTATAACATATAATGTAACAATACATTATACATTAAATTGTTTAATAATATATTTTAATTAAACAATGCTTCAAAAGGAAGTTACAATTGCGTTAGCTTAATAGCAACAACAACTTGTACCACAGACTTCCTCTAAGGTCTCTAAAAGCTAATTATCTTGCAAATAATGGTCTCGGTCTTATACAAACCAACCTAAGTTCCCGAGATCAAAGACATTAAAATTACCACTTAAGAAATTAAATACATATTTCAAGATGAAAAATTTTTTTTAACCTACAAATTCCATCATTATTTTAAATTAAAATTATTCCTTAATAAACTTTAATTAAACATTTTAATATAAAAATTTTTAAATAAAAGATTCCTCGAGAGACTATTCTAATCTCAAATCAATCCTATTTCATTCAATCTTTAAAAATTGATATGATCGTTATTGAAATTTAA